CCCTTGCCAGAAAGAGAAAGAGAGATAGAAAGTGAGAAATCACCCCCGGGGGGAATGGCCACGTGGCAATCCCTTCTCCATTCTCCTCTCGGGATCTTAGGCTCGCACACATACGCGCCTGGCGTGAGTTTAAGCCACCAGGTCCGGGACTCGAACGCGGTCAGCTACATGGGAGTTCAGCAACATAGCCATTACACTAACTGCTGATCCCATATATATCTCTTTGATCTTTATCTCCAGGGAGTAGGTGAGAGCCTGCCAACCCTTGGAAAAGGAGATAGGTGCTGGTCACCTGGTTCTTGGATAGATAACCTGTGAAAAAAAAGCAAAGAGCGGAACCAGCAGATGGTATAATGGTTACCTGCTGGATTCCCACATAGTCAACTGCAGTTCAAGTCCCAGACCTGGCAGCTTAAAATTCACACCGGCTATGTGTGTGTGCGTACCTCCAAGTTCCCAAAATGAGAATGGAGGAGAAGGGATTGCAGCATGGCTATCCCCCCGGGGGGTGATTTCTTGCTTTCTGTCTATCTCTCCGACAAGCACACACGGGAAAACCTATAGCAAAAAACTCTTTAAAAAAAAAAAAAAAAAGGCAAAGACAACTTTGACCAGGGAGGCTCTACCTTAAATATTCCCATGGTGCTTAATAATAGTCCTCCAGAGCCTGCCCTGGTTTTCCCGTAACCCAAGTTACAGACCCCTCCAGAGCTTATCGTGGGCTACAGAACCTCTCTAGGTCTGCACTGAGTTCAAAGGCTAGTGATGAGGGTCCACACCTATTAACAGGAACAGGAGGATGTGAAGACAGAAAGCATCACCCTGAAGTCATCCTGAGTCAGTCCACACAGTAAACATAGAGCTAGGGAGGGAGGCATACAGGTTGGGAAACCCAGCCCCAACAGCTTCTAAAGCAGGGGACCTTCTACTTCCCTAGTGTGCAGTGTGGCTGTGGTGGACAGGCCATTTACCATACTCTGGCCCTGGGCAGTGGGACAGGCTTGGTACTGCCTGGATAACTGGCTCCTTGGTGAGTGCCTGTGGGTGGCCTGAGCCAGAGAAGAATCATCCCTCTGGGCTGCTTCTGAAACTAACCCAGTCCATATCTGACCCCAAAAATCACTAGGTCAAAATAGAATCTAGGGTACTGAGAGAAGCACAGTGGGTTATATGTGGTGGGGACTGTGTGGTCAAAAATCAGTGGGCATCCTGGCCTCTTGGTTCCTAAATACAAGCTGAGTTATAGAGACCTGAGCCCCGGAGACCCTGGACCCTCCAGCAGGATAGGGTGGGAGTCACTGATACGGGCTTTTGGAATGAGATGAGGTCCTGCACTGAGGAGAAAGCAAGTGTGAGACAAGAAAGAGTTCTGAATGGTAACTCTTGAGTTGAAGGTAAAATGGCAAAGAGGGCCAAGTATGTCAGGAATTGTGAGCGGCTAAATTAAAGGGAGGAGAAAGCCCTAAAAGGGAGCTGAACTGGGGGCATCTGATCAGGAGTTCCAGCAAGACAGTTCTCTGGGCATTAGCTTCGTAAGAACTCAACTTTGATTGCTCTTTCAGCCAGAGTCCATCTAGTCAATAGATATTTATTGAGTGTCTTTTTCTGTGCCAGATAGTTCTTTGTCCCCGCTATTCAGAGCTTGCATTTCTCTAGTACAGCTAGGGAAAATGTACTTAATCCCACTGTATCCTCCCTCCACCAATCCTTTCTGGGCTCTAGTTTCAAAGTCCAGTTTCCTCTAAGGGCCAGAGGATTTTCTCATCCTTTGTCTTCTTTCTCCCCTTAGAGTGTACTATCCCCATTCTTTAATCACATTTCTCCTCCTCTTGCTCCTCTGTCTTCCATCTCTCCTAGGCCCCATTGCTTGTACATCCATTCATTTGTGAATTCAGCAAATACTGCAGACCATGTGCCTGCCCTGTGTTTAGAGCTGAGGATAAAATTCAACTAGTCTGGGCTAGCAGATAGTGTGGAGGTTAAGGCACTGGATCCCACATGGCCAATAGCTTGGTCTGAGTCCTAGATCCAGGCAGCTTAAAAATCACGCCAGGTGGGAACCAGCAGTTAGCGTAATGGCTATGTCACTGGACTCCCACGTAGTCAACCACGGTTCGTGTCCTGGACCCGGTGGCTTAAAACTCACACCGGGCACGTGTGCGTGCGAGCCCAAGATCCCGAGAGGAGAATGGAGGAGAAGGGATTGCGGTGTGACCATCTCCCCTGGGGGGTGATTTCTCGCTTTCTGTCTCTATGTCTCTCTCTGTCTGTCTGGCGAGCACACGTGCCCTATAGCAAAAATCTCTCCAAAAAAAAAAAAAAAATCACGCCAGGTGTGGGACCAGCAGTTAGCGTAATGGGTATGTCGCTGGACTCCCATCTATTCGACTGCGGTTCACGTCTTGGACCCGGTGGCTTAAAACTCATGCCAGGAGCGTGTGCGTGCGTGCCCAAGATCCCAAGAGGAGAATGGAGGAGAAGGGATTGCGGTGTGGCCATCCCTCCTGGGGGTGATTTCTCGCTTTCTGTCTCTCTGTCTCTGTCTGTCTAGTAAGCGTATGCGCCCTATAGCAAAAACCTCTCAAAAAAAAAAAAAATCATGCCAGGTTCATGTGAATGTGTGCCCAAAGTCTCAAGAGGAGAGTGGAGAAGGGACTACAGTGTGGCCATCCCCCTAGGGGTGTGTGGGGGGTGATTTCTCACTTTCTTTTTCTCTCATGCGTCCGCAGGAGCACACACGCCCTGTAGCAAACAAGGACCAAAACAAAATATTCTACTAGACTTTGTCATGTCTGTTTCCTCAAGGAACTTAAACGTGTGTCACACTCACATGAGGAACATTGGAATTAGCAAGGCAGTATCTGATTAGGAACTGAGATAGTGTACCTACAAGTAACAATCATACCTGACAGAGATGTTCACATTTATGGCTTTCTTATCTCTTAAGTCATTTGATTTTTGACCATCCCATGAGATAGCTAGGGCAGGCGGTATCCTCACTCCGTAGATGAAGAAAATGAGGCTCAAGGACTTGTTTACCCAATTCCTTGATTAGAAGTAGTGTGACTGGACCATGGGCATAGGACCGTTGGGTAGGGAGGAGAGAAGTGGGAAAGTCTGACAGGGCACAGGTTGCACACTGAGAACCTACCCTGATTGGGAATTTTTAGGAACTGAGACAACAGAATCATTTGCCTAGTAGATACAACCCCAGTCATTTGCCTCTTGGATGCAGGGCTGTGGCAAGACCAGGAAAATGATAAAATACAGAGAATGCTTTACTGGGATATCATGAGAGAGCACAAAATCAGAAAATTTACACTTTAAATGCTGAAATTAAAAAATAAAAAACTTGGGAACCAGCAGTTAGAGTAATGGCTATGTCGCTGGACTCCCACGTAGTCGACCATGGTTCGCATCCTGGACCCAGCGGCTTAAACTCAGGCTGGGCGTGTGTGCATGTGTGCCCAAGATCCCGAGAGGAGAATGGAGGAGAAGAGATTGTGGCGTGGCCATCCCCCCTGGGGTGTGATTTCTCGCTTTCTGTCTCTCTGTCTGTCTGGTGAGTACACACGCCCTATAGCAAAAACCTCTCCAAAAAATTTAAAAATTTAAAAAAAGAGAAAATGCTCTGAAATGTAAACACTGGTCATCTGTGGATGGAATGACTTTCTTCAAACCCTTCCACCTGACATGGTCTCCAAATTTTCACCTTTCATAATCAGAAAGAAAAATAATGATTAAAAAATTATTTAACTTTATTATTCTTTAATAATAGGGCACATACACTTACCAGAGAGAGACAGAGGCAGAGAGAGAGGGAAAAGATGAAAGCAAACTGCCAGGTCTGGGACTCAAACCATAGTCAGCCATTTGGGAGTCCAGCACCTCAACCACCACGCCACCTGCTTGCCCCCAATAATTATCTTTTTTTTTTTAAAGAATCATTTTATTTACTTATATATATTTAACTAGAAAAGGATAGAGTTAGAGAGAGGGAACGTGAAAAAGCAAGCCACTAGGTATGGGACTCAAATCACGGTCCACCACATGGGAGTATAGCACCTTTAACCACCACACCAACTGCCGGCCCCATCTTTTTAAAATTTTTTTTAAAGAGGTTTTTGCCTTAGGGTGTGTGTGCTTGCCAGAGAGAGAGAGTGTGACAGGAAAAGAGAGAAATCACCCCCCCTCCACCCCCCAGGGAGATAGGCACACTGCAATCCCTTCTCCTTCATTCTCCCGGGATCTAGGACACATACACACAGGTGTCCAGTAAGATTTTCAAGCTGTCAGGTCTAGCACTTGAACCACGGTTGGCCATGTGGGAGCCCAGCGATGTAACCACTATGCCATCTGCTTGCCCCAAATAATCCTTTTTTGGAGGTATTTGCTACAGAACTGTGCACTCATCAGAGAGACAGAAAGCAAGAAATCACCTCTCAGGGGGATTGGCCATGCAGCAATCCCTTCTCTTCCAGTTCTCCTCTCAGGATTTGGGCAAGCATGCACATGCGCCCAGCATGAGTTTTAAACTGCCAGGTTTGGGACCCGAACCATAGTCAACCATTATGCCATCTGCTGGTCCCCAAAATAATAATTTTTAAAAGAAGAAAGTTATCCCTAGCAAGCTATACTTTTTCGGGGGAGTTGAAGGGAAGATGGAGGATGTAGGCCAGGAATCTGCAGCTACCCCTTTCAGCACCACAGACAAATCCTCCTGAGGTCTGAACTAAAGCGGTGGTAGTAGCAGCAGAGAGAGAAGGAAGGATTGGAAAGCCCCTTCTGAGGAGAATCTAGGGACAAAACAAAGGCAGTCCTTCACTAGATGAAGGGACCTTGAACTGGAGAGCAGTCGAGAAGTTTGGAAGCAAAGGTGATAGGTCCTTGGGACATTTAATGGGAGGTCACAGTTGGTATCTCGAGAGAGGCAGGTGACCGCTGCTTGTAAGGAACTGCCCACCCACCCCCTGCCACTCACACTACCACTTGTTCCTCAGGTACTTGCAGTGGTGGTACAGGAAGACTCAGGTGGAAAAGAAGACACCTTTCATTGACATGATCAATTGCGTACCACTGAGACAGATCTATGGTAAGCCTTACCCCAGCTCTGCCCTGCACAGACAGCCCAGCCTCCAGGTCTACCAGCATTAGGCAAAGAGACTTCCAGCTTATGTGATTTGCACTATTCCATTCTGTAGGTTTTTAGAACCAACCTTTATAGCCTCTCACTAACTGTCCTGATTCTCTCCTTAGGTTGTCCCTTGGGTGGCATTGGGGGAGGCACTATCACCCGTGGCTGGCGAGGCCAATTTTGTCGTTGGCAGCTTAACCCTGGAATGTACCAGCACCGGACAGTCATTGCTGACCAAGTAAGAGCCAGGAGGTGGAGGAGAAGCCCGGTACCTCCCCAGGCCAGGAAGAGCCTCTTGGCAGTATAGGATGTGACAGTTAAACGCATTTGAGATACAATCCAATAAGTAGCTTCAGGATGCCTCCTGTGTGCCCAGCCCTGTGCCAGGGTGTACCATAGGAAGAAGACACACACAGAGCCCATGTTCCTTGAAAGAGGAAGGTGGCATTTCTCTAGTAAGTGCCTCTTGCAACCTCACCACCCTAGCTCTCTTAGCTGAGCCAGTGCCTGGCCTCAGAGTGTAGGGA